AAAAAAATAATATATATATATATCTATAGATCTATAGATATCTCTCTCTCTCTCGATATAGATATAGAGATAGATAGAGATAGATAGATAGATATATCTATCTCCCTCTCTCCCTATCTATACACACACACACACACACATTATAAAGACCCACAGAAGACTCAAGTATTTAAAATCTATGATTTTGTTTTCACTTGCAATGTGCTTTGAACTGGCTAGAAAATCTGACTTCTTCAGGAAGACTCAGTTGCCCCTCCTCTCACGACATCATATTTTATGCAGCTTCCATGGGAGGAGTAAAGGGAAATACTCTAGAGCAAAGGTACACAACCTTGGCACTCTAGCTGAGATGAAACTTTAAAACCCATCATGCCTTTGTCTCTGAGAGTCATGTGGCTGTCGGAGTCTTGCAATGCCCCATGTGACTTGTAGTTTTACAGCAGCTGGAGTGCCGAGGTTTTTTCTGCTTTAAAGTGTAACTTGAGGGACAGCTCTGACTCTGGTGTGGCTGCTGACATCACATCCAAGATGGTGGCACCCAGCAGCAGTCTTGGGGAGTTTGGATGTCTACATGAGGGAGGCTTTTACAGGTAAAGACCATGCATAAAATATGTTCAATATTTATATAATCTTATGGGAAGGATGCTGTGTTTCTCACCCTCTCAAAAAAAAGGAGATGCCATTGAACAGGGATGTGGTAAGAGGGAATGCAAAGATCTACGCTGTCAACTTTCATGCAAAAGACCAAATTTAAATGCTCCTAGCACTGCTGAGAATATATACAATTGGATATAAAATTTGTTTTGGCTGGCGGGAAAAGAGATTTGGCAAGCACTGGACAATTTCCTAAGTGCTTGATGGGTGAGATGAATCAAGAAGAAGTGATAATGTTTATTGGTAAACTATGTAGACTGAAACATTCAAGCTTTGGGAACCTATTCAGGTTCTTTGTTAGAAATGATGGGGAGACCTAACGTGTTAAAAAGATTGCCTTTCAATATGTTGAGCGTAGTTTATTGGATTGGGACTGTGCACTGGAATTTTTATTTTGCTGAGAATTTGTACGGGTTTATAGTGCTATACTCAGCTTGTCATAGGTTATATTAGGCTCATTGGTGCCAAGATCATGTTAGATTATGCGCCTCAATAGCAGATTGAAGTTATTAAAACAGGGGGAAATATTTGTGTGACAGAGCTATAACCGAGGTTTTGTGGGATTATTGGGATGTCTGTTTACATGCTATGCAGGCATTATCCTTCCACAGATACAGACGTTGCAGATGTGCTTTATTACTGTTCTCCACCCCACAATTTTGGAAATCTTTCCTTCCTTGGAGAAACCCAATAGACTGTTGATCGTGGGCCCAATTTTGGCTCTCTTAAAGCAATACAAACCATGTAGTGACACTTCGAGCTGGCTGGGGCAGCACACAGGTGGTGCTGACTTAGCTTGAAATGCTTGAAGAGCAGTAAAGTCATCTTTTAGCTTGAAATCTTTTAGTTAAAGGAGAGTTGTAGGAGAAAACATAGAGGTTGCCATTCTTCACCTCCTTCTAAAAAGTTTATCTGAGTTGCTGTTATGAAATTCTCCATCATGAAGGCGTATTAGAGCTGCAATTGTTGGCTTATTTTTAAAGGTGCATGCTCCAAGACTGACCTCTTTATTCTTTCACTATTTGGTGGGACACTGTTCAGGATCAAGCATGTCAAGTATTGATGACATGCTTCTTCCAGGTAGGTAACACACCAAGTAATAAAGCAAATGTATAACTTACATGACTAAGTATAATAGAAGCCAAACCCTTTTTTTTCTCTCTTTCAGCTTTTTTGTGGCCTGTTTGGGAGATTTCCCTTCACTTCCTGTCTGATAGCCACAACAGAAAGTAAGAAGAAATCCCTTTTAAAAATGAGGGAAATCTCTGATGGCCTGCAAGGTCACCAAAACTAGTTGTCCACATTGGTGGTGACAACCCAAAATTTAGGACATTGTTTCGCTTTCATTAATAACAGTCACCAGGACAAATAGAGAGGGTGAATCTCCTTAACAGGGACACAGACCACAATAAAAACCAGATAAATATTTCAATCCCTCTCCACTCTGTCCAAAGCTAAAACAAGTTTTGGTTTTAGTTGCACTTTAAACCTGAGCCAAGTAATGGCCTCTCCCATAGTTCCCTGATAGATTTCCTTTAAACAATTGGTCCATACTTTTCACCGACTCAAGTCCGTTATTTTGTATGGACTGACATAGTACTTTGTATGAACTTTAAAAGTACAGAACTGACTGGTTACAACAATTTTGCATGAACTTCAGTTAATTAGACTTGGTTGGTTACTTCTGCTGCGATTCGAGTTTATATTGGTCATCATGTTTAATTTACTTATGAGTGTCAGATTAACATATTCAGACTACGTAGAGGGAGCTGGCTTTTTTCCGTGTTACTCATACTTCCTCGGCAGTGTCGGGAGATTTTAGAAACGCAGATAATTGGTTTGCAAAGAGGGACATTGCGGACATCCAACCGCATACCAGCAACTGTCAGCAAGAGGTCTTTCTTATCAGTTTGCCATTTCTCAATGTCATAGCAAAATAGATAGAGGCAGCCACTTTACAACCCTGAGCAAATACACCACAGCCATGGTAGTAGAGATTGGGATGGGAAATGCTTTCAACAGTTCTTATTGATACTGAGGGGCCCATTATTTGCTTGAAGTCTATGTAAAGGCAAACCTTTTTCAGCTTGTGAGGGAGTAGGGAAGAGATTTACCCAGACAGGTTATTTTGCGGTCTGTGTCCCGTTGTGAAGATTTTCCTTTACTTCCTGTATTGCAGACAAATTGGGAAATGAGGAAATCTTCTCAGTGATCTTAATGACAATAGCCACTATGACAGATAGTGATGAATCCTCTTAGTGGGGACACAGGCAACAACTAAAACTTGACAGTGGGTTTAACCTTTCTCTGCTCTTTCCAAAACTGAAAAAAAATAAGTTTTGTCTTTACATACATTTTATAGCATATCTAAACCCAGAGCAGAGTTCTGCTTTGGTGGTAATCAGATCTAAGTGCATGTCCATTTACATCCGACTGTCCGTAGGCCTAACATGGTTGCGGTTAGATCAGTTTTTCCCTCTATCACAGGATGGAGGAAAAAAACAGAACGAACATGGAAGTCACAAAAGTGACATCTGTTCCATACTGCTTTGAAAAGCAGGGGATCTGTGTGCAGAACCCCTGTTGATCGGAACGTATGCTGCCCGTGTAAGCGGGGCCTTGATTGGCACCACAATGCACCTAACCGTTACATGTATATTGCATCCTGGTCAGGACACAAACTGGGTATTCCAGTTTCCTCCCATACGCCAAAGACCAACTGGAAGATTAATTGGCTCCTGTCTAAATTGGCCCTGGATTTGGGTGAGATAGGCACCTTAGATTGTAGGCTCCTTGAGGGCAGCGACTGATGTGTATGTGCAGTATGTAAGAAGCTGCTATATAAATATCAGTAATAAATAATCACACCACTACCCATGGTAACTTATTAAAAAGGGTCATGCACTTACCTTGGTTTGATTGATGCATTAGCCAGCTCTTTCAAATGAATGGGCTGCCCTACCACAACACACCTGAAACGCTCTGCACCGCACGTGCATTGTCGCGTTGCACAGGTGTGAACAGGGCGTTTATACTGTTCAGATTACTCGGGTGGATGTATTTGGTAGTCTAGCTATATTTTTACCTTCAGCAACCTTTGACCTGAGTTACCCCTTCAATC